GACGAGAAGCACCCGAGAACATCGAAGTCGAACCCCTGAGCCTACCTCCCCTCACGGTGCCCCTGAGCCTATCCCCCCGAACGTGCCCCTTGAGGGCCGCTCTAAGCAGTCTGAGCCGGGCGGAAGAGGAGAAGGAGGAGGAGGAGGAGGACGAGCGGGAGGAGAAGGAGGAGGAGAAGGAGGAGGAGGAGGAGCGGGAGAGTGAAGAGGAGGAGGAGGAAAAGGAGGAGGAGGAGCGGGAGGAGGAGGACTAGTGCAAACCCAAGACTCATCAACGATGTTGGAATACACCCTCCCTCCAAGCTCGCTCTTCGCAGGCCCCTGCAAATATTCATGTCCGCTGAGGGAAGCGCCTCGGTGGGAGACAACCGTTTGAAGACCCTGAAGCGTGCAAAAAAACAATTCTCGGGACTCCGACGCCATGACTCAACATGACTGTTGCGTCTTAACGATCTGGAATCGTGCCAGAGCATAATTCCTGGGACTTGAACACCGCGAATCAACGTGACTGTTGCGCCCTCACAATCCTGCGTCCTTCCAAAACGTAATTTCTGGCACGTTGGCCATGGGAATCCGCGACACTTCTGCAAACGTTTAAACAGAATATGCACGGCGCTAACACGAGAAACACATGATGAAAACCACCCGCCCTCAATGCGTCAAACTCTGGCAAATGTTTAAGGAATGTGTGCGGCGCTAACGCGATAGCCACATGTTGACAACCACCCACCCTCAATCCGTGAAACTCTAATCGTTGTTATACCCAGTGTGGACGGCGCTAACGCGACAACCACAATTTAAACACCATCCGCCCCCAATCCGAGAAGCTCTGGCGAATGTTCAAAACGAATGTGCGCGGCGCTAACGCGAGAGCCACATTATGAAAATGAACCACCCATCAACCCGTGAACTTCTTGCAGAGTTTTAATGAATGCGCGCGGCGCGAACGCGAGAGCCACATGTTGAAAACGACCCGCCCCCAATCACCGAATCTTCTGCAATGTTACAACGAATGTGCGCGGCGCTGAAGCGAGAGCCACATGTTGGAAGCGACCCGCCCATCACCTGCGAAACTGTTGCCAGTTTTCAAGCTTCAGGGTCAGAAAGGTGAGAAACTATCAGGCGAGACGCCTGGCCGACCCTTTCGACCGGCCTCGTGGCGCGACAGGGAGGATTGATCTACAACAGTGGAAAGGAATGGAGACTCTGAAGGAAAAAAAGGACGGGGACGAGAAGGAGGTGGAGGAATAGGAGGAGGAGGAGGAGGAGGAGGAGGAGGAGGAGGAGGAGGAGGATCAGGAGGTGGAGGAGGAGGAGGAGGACGAAGAGGATGATGGTGATGATGATGATGATCATGATGATGAAAATAATGATGATGATGATGATGATGATGATGATGATGATGATGATGATGATGATGATGATGATGATGATGATGATGATGATGATGGTGGTGGGGTGGTGGTGGTGATGATGACTATGGTGATGAGATGATGATGATGATGATGATGATGATGATGATGATGCTGATGATGATGATGATGATGATTGAGATGATGAGGATGATGATGATGTGATGATGATGATGCTAGATGTGATGATGATGATGAGGAGGAAGGAGGAGAGAGAAAGAGGAGGAGAAGGGAGGAGGAGGAGGAGGAGGATAACGAGGAGGAGGAGGAGGAGGAGGAGGAGAGGAGGAAGAAGTAATGAGGAAAGAGGAGGAGGGGGGGAAGGAGGAGGAGAAGGAGGAGGAGGAGGACGGAGGAGGGGAGGAGGAGGAGGAGGAGGAGGAGGGGGAGGAGGAGGAGGAGGAGGAGGAGGACGGAGGAGGAGGAGGAGGAGGAGGAGGAGGAGGAGGGGGCGCGCAGGTCAGCGCAACCCGAACCCGCGCCGCGCGGGCCGCGCGCGCGGAGACGCGGCCGCGCGGCGGGGCCTTCGACAGCCGCTCCTCGGCGGCCCGCGCCGTGGCGCGCGCCTGGGCCGCGGCCCGCTCTGCCGCCGCGGCCGCGACGTCCACCTCTGCGCGGCCGCCGGCGGTCGGTCGGTCGGACTCGGCAGAGCAGCAGCCCGCGCGCTGTCGTGCTGACAGCTCTCGCCCGAGAGGCCCGTTTCGACAGCCACCCTCCGCAGCGAAGGGGAGGCCCAGCCCCCAGTCACACACGGCCCAGCGCCGAGAAGGCGGCGGAACGCGCGAGGCCACCGGCGAGGAAGAGAGGAGAGGTTAGGAGGGGGAGAGGGGGGGGGGCTTGACCCAGACCTTCTCGAATCGCAAAGAGATCACGACGGGAGGTTCGTGGCCACGTTCGGCCTCTGGAGGCCCTCGCTGGGCTCCGGCGCCGATGCTGAATAGAACCTCCCAAGACTTCCATCCTGCGATGAGGGGATGGGGAGATGGGGTGCCGAGGGTGGAGAGAAGCCACGTATCTCTCACGCGAGCAGAGGCGGGAGGAGGAGGAGGAGGAGGAGGAGGAGGAAAAGAAGGAGGAGGAGGTCTGCAAGCTCGGTATCATATGGCATTGGTAAGGTGAAGCTTCATTGGCGTCGGGGCGAATCGCGAGCGCGCGGCTTAGAGGCCCAGCTCAGAGGGTCAGCGAGGACCTACTGATCTGCGCGATTTTTGCCCACCTCGACCAAGAGCCCCCCCTCCCCCGCGCCCCCCGAACCTGCCCGCAGCTTTTCGGCGGAGACCCCGCCCCTTGCCCCCCCCCCAGCGCGGCATCTGCGTTACTTGTTCTTGTTTGCTCGGGCATGCGTAGACGACCTCAGACTTCGCTGGAGGCACCCACAACTTGTGCGCCCCCCGTGAGCGCGAGAAAAGAAGCCCGCGCGCGTGAGCACCTACCAGGCCCAGCGCGGCAACCGCGAGAGGGCGGGGGGAGGCTCTGGAGAGAAAGAGAGAGAGAGAGAGAAGAAAGAGAGAGAGAGAGAGAGAGAGAAAACAAAAAAAAAATGAGAGAGGAGAACACAAGAAAAGAGACAACAAGAGAGAGAGAGAGAGAGAGCGCGGAAAGAGAGAGAGAGAGAGACAGACAGAAGGGGGACAACTAAATGATTCACTGCGTGGAGCTCCCCATATGTGCATCTATTCGCATGGACCTATCCGCCGTGAATGTCTAGGCCCAAGAGGTTTCGAACATAAACGGGCTTCAGTTGTGACGGTCTGGTCATGAATCTAACTGCGAATGACTTGGAGTGTGAATGAGCCTCAGTAGTACGAGCGCGTCTCTGCGCATGAGCCTGGGGCCTTCTGGGGCCTCCTGGAACCTACTGGGGCTTCCTGGGGCCTCCAGGAGCCTCTTGGGGCCTCCTGGGGCCTCCTGAAACCTCCTAGGGAGGATTCGTGCCCCAGGGGAGGCCCAATCTATAGCAACAGACGTACATAAAACATTGCGGATTGGAGCCACAGGAGAAGGGCAATCTATAGGAACACACGTAAAACACCAAGGACTCGTGCCCCAGGAGAGGCCCAATATATAGGAACATCAATAAAACAGTTAGGATTGTGTACGCAGGAAAAGGACAATACATAGAAACATACATATAACATCAAGGATTCGTGCTCCAGGTGAGGCCCAATCTGTAGGAGCAGACGTAAAACACATGGGATTGGAGCCACTCATGTTGCATGATGAGACCTCCTGCTCCTGGGGCCTCTCGGGGTCTCCTGTTGCCTTCCGATGCCTCCTGGCGCTTCCTATGGCCTCTGCGGCCTCCTGTGGCTTCCCTATGTCTTCTGGAGCTTCCTGGGGCCTCCTGGACCCTCTTGGGACATCCTGTGGCCTCTTGAATCGTTCTGTGGCCTCCTGATGCCTCCTGGGACCTCATGTGGTCTCCTGGGGCCTCCTGGAGCCTGTTGGAGCCTCCTGTGGCATCCTGAAGAGAATATGTGCCCACGAGACTGGCCACCAAAACAGGCAAACCGATCGAGACATCTTCAAAATCTGGCCCACCTGGGAGGTGAAAATGAGCGCCTCGCTCGAGACATCCTCCAAATCTGCTCCGACAGCGAAAAATGTTGAGACAGAAAACAAGCAAACCGCTTGAGATATCCCCGCAAACCGGCCGCGAACGGGACCGTGCAATACCCCTCGGCGGCTCTCCTTAGGGATGTGAAAATGAGCGCCTCGCTCGAGACATCCTCCAAATCTGCTCCGAAAGCGAAGGATGTTGGGACAGAAAACAAGCAAACCGCTTGAGACATCCCCACACCACGGCTGCGGGACCGTGCAATACCCCTCGGCGGCTCCCCTTAGGGACATGACAATGAGCGCCTCGCTCGAGACATCCTCCAAATCTGCTCCGAAAGCGGGGACAGAAAACAAGCAAACCGCTGGAGACATCCCCACAAAACGGCCGCGAACGGAAACGTGCAATACCCATCGGCGGCTCCCCTTAGGGACGTGAAAATGAGCGCCTCGCTCGAGACATCCTCCAAATCTGTTCCGAAAGCGAAGGATGTTGGGACAGAAACCAAGCAAACCCCTGAGACATCCCCACAAACCGGCCGCGAACGGGACCGTGCAATACCCCTCGGCGGCTCCCTTAGGGAACGTGAAAATGAGCGCCTCGCTCGAGACATCCTCCAAATCTGCTCCGAAAGCGAAAGATGTTGGGACAGAAAACAGGCAAACCGCTTGAGACATCCCCACAAAACGGCCGCGAACGGGACCGTGCAATACCCCTCGGCGGCTCCCCTTAGGGACGTGAAAATGAGCGCCTCGCTCGAGACATCCTCCACATCTGCTCCGAAAGCGAAGGATGTTGGGACAGAAAACAAGCAAACCGCTTGAGATATCCCCACAAAACGGCCGCGAACGGGGCGTGCGTGAGTGTCAGCATGAGTAAGTATGAGTAGGAGTAGGTCTGAATATGAGTAGGTCTGAGTATGAGTAGTTTTATGTGTGAGTAAATCAGGGTATGAGTAAGCCTGAGTGTGAGTCAGTCTGTGTATGAGTAAGTGTGGGTATGAGGAGGAGGGGGGAGGAGAAGGAAAAGAAGGAGGAGAAATCGGCGGCGTCCAAGAATAACAAGAACCCCATCTTAGGATATGGGGCAATTATCCTGGCGAAGGACCCAACCATAAGCAATTGTTCGTAACGCAATGTGGATGCCGCTTTCGGTGGGGCTCCCTATGGGGCCACGAAGCGCCGCCCTGGGTGGGGGAACCGCCTGCGAACTGCGCCACTGGGGCGGGCCTTCGGTGGAGCTCCCTATGGGGCCACGAAACGCTGCCCTGGGCGGGGAAACCGCATGCGAACTGCGCCACTGGGGCCTTCGGTGAAGCTCCCTATGGGGTCACGAAGCGCTGCCCTGGGTGGGGGAACCGCATGCGCACTGCGCCACGGAGGCCTTCGGTGGAGCTCCCTATGGGGCCACGAAACGCTGCCGTGGGTGGGGGAACCGCATGCGAACTGCGCCATTGGGGCCTTCGGTGGAGCTCCCCATGGGGCCACGAAGCGCTGCCCTGGGTGAGGGAACCGCATGCGAGAACAGCCACTGGGGCCTTCGGTGGAGCTCCCTATGGGGCCACGAAACGCTGCCCTGGGCACGGGAACCGCATGCGAACTGCGCCAGTGGGGCCTTCGGTGGGGCTCCCTATGGGGCCACCAAACGCTGCCCTGGGCGGGGGAACCGCATGCGAGAGCAGCCACTGGGGCCTTCGGTGGAGCTCCCTATGGGGCCACGAAGCGCTGCCGTGGGCGGGGGACTGCATGCGAGAGCAACCACAAGGGGCCTTCGGTGGAGCTCCTTATGGGGCCACGAAGCGCTGCCTTGGGTGGGGGAACCGCATGCGAGAGCAGCCACTGGGGCCTTCGGTGGAGCTCCCCATGGGGCCACGAAATGCTGCCTTGGGTGGGGGAACAGCATGCGAGAGCAGCCATTGGGGCCTTCGGTGGAGCTCCCTATGGGGCCACGAAGCGCCGCCCTGGGTGGGGGAACCGCATGCGAGAGCAGCCACTGGGGCCTTCGGTGGAGCTCCCCATGGGGCCACGAAGCGCTGCCCTGGGTAGGGGGAACCGCATGCGAGATCAACCACTGGGACCTTCGGTGGAGCTCCCTATGGGGCCACGAAGCGCGGCCATGGGTGGGGAAACCGCATGCGAGCGCAGCCACTGGGGCCTTCGGTGGAGATCCCTATGGGGCCACGAAACGCTGCCGTGGGTGGGGGAACCGCATGCGAAAGCAGCCACTGGGGCCTTCGGTGGAGCTCCTTATGGGGCCACGAAGCGCTGCCCTGGGTAGGGGGAGCCGCATGCGAGAGCAGCCACTGGGGCCTTCGATGGAGTTCCCTATGGGGCCACGAAGCGCTGCCCTGGGCAGGGGGAACCGCATGCGAGATCAACCACTGGGACCTTCGGTGGAGCTCCCTATGGGGCCACGAAGCGCTGCCCTGGGTGGGGGAACCGCATGCGAACTGCGCCACGGAAGCCTTCGGTGGAGCTCCCTATGGGGCCACGAAGCGCTGCCGTGGGTGGGGGAACCGCATGCGAGAGCAGCCACTGGGGCCTTCGGTGGAGCTCCCCATGGGGCCACGAAGCCCTGCCCTGGGCGGGGGAACCGCACGCGAGAGCAGCCATTGGGGCTTTCGCTGGAGCTCCCCATGGGGCCACGAAGCGCTGCCCTGGGTGGGGGAACCGCATGCGAGAGCAACCACTGGGACCTTCGGTGGAACTCCCTATGGGGCTACGAAGCGTGTGAGGGGTGTGCGGAGAGCAAAGGTAAGGAGCGGGAGGAGGGAGGAGGGGGAGGAGGAGGAAGGAAGGAGGTGGGGCGCGGGGCGCTGTCTCTTCAAATCGAAGACCCAACACCACAAGATGGTCGGGAAAAACATAGACCGGGGAGCGGGGGCAGGGTCGGGCAGGGGGAGGGGGGAGGAAAAGGCAGGAGAGAGGAGGGGATGAGGAGGGGGAGGAGGAGCAGGAGGAGGAGGAGGAGGAGGAGGAGGAGGAGGAGGAGGAGGAGGAGAAGGAGGGGGAGGAAGAGGAGGAGGAGGAGGAAGAGGAGGAGGAGGAGGAT